AAAATATTATGTTGCAAACGTTTGTATTAAGCTAGTATCTGAAGCATGGATCATAAATGTGCATTACTCTGCTTTCAACTAAATTTAACCAAATAAATATATAGAGTGATTAAATGTATCCTCCTTTTCTGAGGTCTCATAAGTAAGCGATTCGTAGGCATTTCAATCTCTGTATTCATTTTACATTTCTGTTTCTTTCTTTTTTTCTTTTTTCTTTTTGTTTCTTAACATTATGTAAAACTGTCATCTTTCATGTAATTTTGTTATAGTTGTTATTCTTTTGGGCGTGCAGCAAGATAAAATGCTGCTTGTCATGTATAGATTTCTCATTCAGTATCATATAACGTATTTTAATAATTACGTAAGCTACAGTAGTAGTATTCTGTATTTTCAGAGTCGTATTTTAAAATAATTTTTATTGTAGTGATGAGAAAGATGCTTTTTTTCGATAAAACATTTGCCCATCCTTTGCGAAGTACATTTTCAGTCCAAAGAGGCAATTTACCAGAAGGACTATTAATTTCGTTTTGGAATTTTGCATTGAAAAGGGTACTTACGTATTATCGCAACCAGGTTGGCGCGCTTTGTAAGTTTGAGTAAAAAAGTATGAATAGAAAGAAAATGTACATTTATTAATTACAGGTAATTTTTAATACAGTTTTTTATATTATTTTGTTTTAAAATATAAAATAGCAATTAAACCCTTCCGGTTTCGAATTTGAAAAAGTTGCAGAATTATTTTTTTAAGCGGAAATCTTTTGGCTATTACTTTTAGCACTGATTGAAAACCATATTCGCCATAACCATGTACACGTCGACTTATTTTTACTTAAAAAAACCTTCCAGAATTGCACAAAAATGGCATTGCGCACACTCTTGACTTTATCCATCTACACTGCTATTTTCTCATAAATTACAAAAATTTGCACGAAAATGCAGGAAAATTTTGTGAATCTCCACATGCTCTTTTTAAAAAACTACGTATAACACGTAGGGTTGCCGTAAGTAGGGTCGCCAAATTTGGCAATTTATGCGAATTTTGGCCTGGTTGCGATAATACGTAAGTACTTTGAAAAGTATAAACGGCGAATCACTTTTCGAATTGTTGACCACCAAATATTAGAGTCCTGTATTATATTTAAAGAAATTAAATAATGAAAAATTTGCATGAATGTATGTATGTTTGTTGCATTGTGATAAAACAATGGTACCTAGAGCCATCAAAATTTGAATAACGTAATCTTCCATCGAATATGTGCATGTGGAAGCCCTAACTTGGATCTGAAATTTTTTTTATTATCGACTTCATGTCCCACTTGAAGGAATTTTTGATTAACAAACTCTGCGAGTTCAAAGCGAGAATTGGCTCACCAGCGGCCGAGCGGTAAAGTCGCTGAACACTGGTAGTTCGGTCCGAGGTTCGAATCCCGCGAACGGGCTGGCTGCATGGGTGTTTTCGTGGTTTTCCCCATGTGTAACGTGTATACGAGCCAGTTTCCCTTAGAAAGTCCTCCACGAAGGCATCCCTCCCCGTAGGCAGATAGCCCTCGAGGCTTTGCCATAATCACACACACACACAAAGCGAGAATTGGCAACATTGTAAGAAAAAAAAAAAAAAAAATTATCTCCAGAGCACGAGACTGTATCGGAAATTCTAAAGATATCCTCATTTAAAAATTATTTTGCAATATTACTGTTGAATTGAATTTTATGGTTTGAGTACGTAGAACATGATATTTAATAAATAAAGGTAACACACAAAGAGTTAAAAAAACGCCCCTTTGGACGTAATTTAAAATCTGAAACTTTTCAATTTTTTTTTCTGTTTTTTGGTTTTGTTTGCGTTGCGATTATATAAGGTTAGGTTATTTAATTACGGAAAAGCCTCTAGGGCTATCTGTCTAAGGGGAGGGATGCCTTCGTGGAGGACTTTCTAAGGGAAACTGGGTGTTTTCGTGGTTTTCGACATGTGACACATGTCGAAAACCACGAAAACATCCATGCAGCCAGCCCGTTCGGGGATTCAAACCTCAGATCGAACTACCAGTGTTCAGCGACTTTACCGCTCGGCCGCTGGTGGGCATCGCGATTAAATAAGTTAAACTCGGTTATGTGTAGTAAAAAATTATGACAACACGCTTTTTAGAAAAGCTTTAAATTAAAGAAAACTGAAAATTCAATGTATCTGTTAATATAAAAACAGAATTCACTGCATTAAGAACTTTTGTATGTATTTCGTATGTATTTATACTGATGTGGTAGCCAGAGGGATTTCTTGTAAGGCCTATTCAATTAGAAAAATTTTTTGCTGCACTTCATTTTAACTTATTCCCTCGAATTTTGTTAGTGACATATTTATTCGATCGATTTAGTTCTTATTTCGAAGCGAAGCAGAAATATATAAGAGCTGAAAACATCTTCATCAGGACTTAGAAGAGAAGGGCTAGCTCATAGAGCTTTTCTTGAAACAGGCAGTGGGAAGTGATGACGTAGCAATGATGACACTGAGCGCGGAGATGCAACTGACAACATAGAAATTAGCGTTTTAAATTTGAAGAACCAGCGTTTAAAATGAGCTGTGTGTGAAAGATAGCTATAATTTGTAAGAGGCGCTACTGCTGCTTTCATTTTACACTGAACATTAAAAAATTTAGGAGTACTTACTCAATTTTAAAATAACAGATAAGCGGCATTTTGCGCTGTTTCACTATAAATGTCCGTGTCTCATTGCAAGTTGTTGTTACCAAATATTAACGCCTTGTATTATATTTAAAGAAATTAAATAATGAAGAATCTGCATGAATACATGTATGTTTCTCGCACTGTGACAAAAACAACAGTATCTAGAGCCATCAAATTTTGAATAATGTAATCCTCCACCCGAACATGGGGCATCTGGACGGCTGAATTTCGAATTTTTAATCTATTTCATATTTTGTAAAACTTTAACGAATTTTTGATTAACAAACTCAACGAGTTCAGAGAGAGCACTCTACGGAAAATAAGTTTTATCTCCAATGCGGAAATTTTAAAGATATGCTGTTAAAAGTTATCAGATCTTGTTTAATTTTACCTTATTTATTTCAAAGCATCACGTACTATCAATCTTATTTAATTTTACGTTATTTGTACGCAAAATTAAGTTCACAAATTTTGTGCCTAGAGTTTTTACCGTTTTACCAAAGTAAAGATGCTTGTACAAGAATTCCGCGTGAAAAAAATGCGCAAAATGCAGTAAAAAGTGCTTTAATGAGATATATTAAATCCTATTTGGAAAAAACTGTGGCTTTCATAATCTCATCACTATACAACGTATCACATTTAATAATTAAAAAGAGTTATGTGATACGAACGCCATAGGTTTCAGTGTTAAAGTAAACCAGATCGTCCCTACTCTTTCTTGCCGACATGTCGGTGACGCGGCCCCGCCCACTGGGTTAGTCTATCTCTTATAAGGTCCATGACTGTCGGTTACCTCCCCCCATCAGGCTCGCGTCGGCGAGGAGTCAAACAAAGGAGTGAACTAGCCCTTCTATTTATCCCTGAATCTTGATTAAAAATTGTAAAACACAGAAAAACCTTAAACACCAAATACAGTTAAAAACACTTTTTGCAATTAAAATCACAGCTTCTACGCGAAAGCAAGCAATTCGACCATCAGCCAGAAAGACAAAATTTTAAATGAACAAAAATTTAAAGTTAACTTTTGGTCTCACTGAGAAAAAATACACTGAAGCTGGTGTAGCAAATGACTTAATTCACTATATTACTAAGAGTTTCAAATGTAAATAAATAGCCTACACGTTAGGCCTAGGACGACTTTTAAACCGTTGCTAGTTTTACAGATGTTGCATTCACATTAACTAAAGGTATAAAATCCTTAACCGGAACATAACATCAACATAATTCAGTGACTTTTAATGAAAAAAATGCACAGTTTACCAACATATAAGAATAAAAGAACAGATGTAAGAGGGTGAGTCGGCTATGCATAAATATACGTTTGCATATATATGTAAATATATATATATATATACGACTAATCGTTTTTGGGCTATTCGAGATACCTACATATGTACGTGGAAACTTTATGAAAAAATCTCTTCTGGAATGAATTTTACATCAATTTTACTTTCTTTTTTTTGAAAAAAGAGTTTTCCATTATGTCTGTACTTAAAGATGGTGCACTGGGGAAACGGTGCAGCACCAGGGTTCCTGGGTCAAGGACCCTACCCCTTGTAGAACAGATGTGTCATTTCGAATACTGTCATGAGTAACTAGTATATAATTATATATATATATAATTAAATCATGTTTTTACATTTTTCAAAATTATAAGAATAGAAATATGATAAGAGATAAATTAAAAGATAAATTTCTAAAAAGACTAAAGTGTGCGTCAAATTTCAATAGACCTGAAGTGCTATGTGGGAAGGCCGAGAAAGGAGGAATGAGCTGGCTATAGACTGATGCAGAAAAAACATTCGTATAAATAATAGCCAAAGGAGCGTGAGTTTCTTGGTGCACTAGTAATAATTAAACCTTAAATCTATAACACAATATTAAGAGGCAAATATCAGATTAAATAAGTTATACAATATGGGTAGTAAGTATGGCCATAGGCCGTTTACTATTATTTGGGTCATTATAGTCGTAATCGTAAATCCTTATAACTGGGTTGTTGATATCAACAAGATTGGCATAAATTGATTGACACTGCGGTATTGGCACTGCGGGCGAGCCGGCAGCAAAAACACTAAAGTTGTTCTATTCCCAATTCTTCATGTAACTTATGATTTCGAACGTACCGAACGTACCTAAGACAGATTACCAATTACGTTTCGAACGTAATTGGTAATCTGTCTTAGGACACAATTTTGTGCCTGTTGCAATTTTTTTTCTATAAGATTTGCATGAATATGCCCAGACCGGGCAGGCATAGTATAAAATGGGACGCAATACTGTTTTATAAATAAGCAATTTGTTGTCTACTGAAAGTAAAAAATTTGGAACGCTTCACGATCTCGCGTGTCATCTTTGCGCGGGGGCCACGCTGATTTTTCTCTGTATCGTTTCAATTTTATATGCACTTCCGAGAAGTACCCTTAAAGATGCAAAGCACAGGATTTGTTCAAATGGATGTTATTGTTGAACTATGATATCCGAAACTTTTCATGACTACAATACGTCCTTCAGGAAGTAAAAAGAACTGAAATGAATGAAATGTTATAATCAAAAAATGCAACGTTTCAAAACGAGGTGCCCATACCATATATGGGCAAATCGTTCTGCAGAAAAAAGACTCATTGCGTATGATGTACCTTCTCAACTGCCAGGGTGTTCATTTCTCATTGTTTTCTTAAAAGTATTCTTGAAAATAGTGCTTTTAATAATGAACATTCTTATGTTATTCTTATGTTCTTATGTTATAATGAACATTCTTATGTTATTCTGTTCTTATGTTATAATGAACATTCTTATGTTATTCTTATGTTATAATGAACATTCTTACGTTATTCTTATTCTTATGAACATTCTTACGTTATAATGACATTCTTACGTTATTCTTATTCTTATGAACATTCTTATGTTTAACAGTCTTATTCTTGAACATTCTTAGGTTATTCTTATGAACATTCTTATGTTTAACAGTCTTATTTTTATTCTTAGGTTATTCTTATGAACATTCTTATTCTTATGTTATTCTTAATTATATTATTATGTTTTATATTATGCTATATGTTATAAACGATATTATCCTTCTGCAATTTTTGGAGTATCTGCAGATCGTAGATGGTTTGGTTTGTTTAATTATGGCAAAGCATACAAGGATCACTATAAAACTTATCATATATAATAAGGATACTTCAAAACTTATCATAACTTTAGGAAAGGGATGCCTTCGTGGATGACGTTTTAAGGAGAAACTGTCTCGTATACGAGTTATCCATTAGGGAAAACTAGGAAAAAGCGCATGCATGCAGCAGTTTGGCTTCGAATTGAACCCTGGTCGGAACCACCAGTGATTAGCGATCTTACCGCTCTGCTTTTTGTAGACCGCAAATTGTAGATAATTATTTATTAGTATAAAGGTTTTAAATAATTATTGATCATAATAAAAAAATTAATTTTTTAGTGGAATTTAGCATTTTATAGAAGAACAGATTAAGGACAAAAAGATGGATATGATATGTTTTTTGAATTTTATTTGGATGTGAGTCGGATAATGCAGCTACCGATTAATTTTTATAGAAACATACCTGGCAGTTTTAGTTATATTAAAACTAAAACGTTCAAAATAAACTTTATTCATTCAGTATACCGCAGTGGAAGTCTTCAATCTGGATTTATTTTCCCAATTACTCCGGGAGACCCGATTTAATCCCGTAAAAAATCGAAGCCCAAAATAAAGAAAAGGAAAAATAACTTTTCTTTTCCGCATTATATTCTCGACCACGTTCAGTTACGAAACTAACTTAAAAACACACACGCCTTAAAAGAAAATTTCGAGACAAAGCCTTGATCCCAGTAAAATTGTAAGCGATTTGCTCCAGGAGAATGGAAAGGCACCCAAATTGCAGGCGATCAGTGCTGAGGTAACGAAAATAGGGAAAAAAAAAAAAAGAAAGAAAGGGATATTTTGCCCTCAACTATGTTTTGGCCGATGAAAAATTGAGAAGCGGCCATTTTTGTGAACTGAATGGTTGAAGAACATGGAGTCTGCTCTTTTTTTGGGGCGACATTACTAGCGAAAGCTTGTTTTCTGACCTTACACAAAAAGCGTGTCAAGAAGAACAATGAGGATAATGCAGTTTTACAAGGATTTCTACCCCGCATATCTTTAATACGTCCAAACTTAACAAGTTAAAAACAATGAAGGTTTACAATACATAAACAACGTTGAAAAAAAAAAAAAATCAGATTTTCTAGGAGTGATTTTATGTTTTTTGGTGCGGAGATGTGATTAAACATATATGTTTTTAATTGTGTTGATGTATCCCAAAATATTTTTGGTAAGAAGTGGAATATAGATGATAGTTTATTTTAATTGAATTTAAGAAACAAGATCTCAGTTGAAGTGAAGTGATGATTTAGGAAGCTCGGTGCCGGATCATTATATATTTTTGGAACTGCTCAATAATCTCAGTGGAATTTACTGAAAATTTCATAACTGTTTATTCTATTTCAAGCATATTTTGTCAATTTTGTTTAAAACTACTTAGCTTCAAAACTTATCGTAATTTAAAACGGTAATATTCGGTTTCGAGGGCCGTAAAAAATCGCCAAACTATTGTTGATGCCAATGCTGCCAAAAATAATTGCGGCAACCCTAATAAATGCGGGAAGAAAGGAAGTATAATAGTAAATAACTATTTAAGATTGATGTTTTAATTTAGATGATAGGTTAATTTCATTTAATACTTTTTTATTATTATAATTTATATGAAAAAGGCTAAACATGACTAATTGGAAGCATAAGAGTAAATTATTATTTCAGATCATTATTATAATTTATATAAAAATTGCTAAACATAATTGAATGGATGCCATCATCGCTATTTCGCTACCGACTTATAGCTAAAGCATAATTTCATCTCCTTGGTTGTTCAAACGTAATTTTCTATAATGAATGATGCCTTTTCTTTGAAAATATTCTCGGTAAAGTGCAGAATCGCTCACTTATTTGTTCGCCGCTTTTAACAAGGGTAAAAACAATTGGATTTTTGTCAATTTTCTTTTAATTTTTAAGTGAAAATAGGTGGATGTGTACATAGATAAAGTCAAGGGTGTGCGCAATGCCATTTTTGTGCAATTCTTGGGATTTTTTTTTAAAGTGAAAATAGATCGATGTGTACACGGATACCGAAGTATGAGCAATTCTTAAAAATGCGTCAAGTAGTGGATGATTCTACACCTTACCCAAAATTCTATTGCAGACTTCTCGTCACGGGCAATTCTGAAATTGTTAAATCCATAGGATATCAGAAAAGGATTTAAAAATTAAACTAGTATTTCAATGGCGTTCTAAGAAATATAGAACTACATAAAGTTACGCAATCTGAAATCAGCGCGTACGCTAGATTTGGTGCGCTGTTAAATGGGCGCGTTTGCTAGATTTGGCGCTTTTGCGCATACATTTTCGCTGCAATTTTTTTACTGTCTTCAAAACGGAATAGTACCTTATTTTCGAAACGGCATTTGAGTTGTTTCAGTATAACTGCCAGTTTCACTTTTGAAATTGGTGTCACCAAATATTAGTAATCCTCCACCTGAACATGGACACCGGGACGCCGGAATTTTTTTTATTGAATTATGTTTTTTGTTGAATTATTAATGATTGAATTATGTTGTTCTTATGTTCCGTTTAAGGTTTTTATGCCTTTAGTTAATCTGCATGCAACAGTTGTAGAATTATCAACAATTTAAAAGTTGTTTAAGTGAGACTAAGTCTAACGAAGCAGTCTTTTAGTTAGCTTTGAAACTGATTAGAATAGTTAGCAAAATAATTGCTGAGTGGGACCAAAATGAAATGCACCAAAACATGTGTATAACTTAATAGGCCGTACATTGGTTTATGTGATAATGGCAAAGCCTCGACGGCTATCTGTCTAAAAGGAGGGATGCCTTCATGGAGGAGGCCCACCAGCGGCCGAGCGGTAAAGTCGTTGAACACTGGTAGTTCGGTCCGAGTTTCGAATCCCGCGAACGGGCTGGCTGCATGGGCGTTTTCGTGGTTTTCCCCACGTGTAACGTGTATACGAGCCAGTTTCCCTTAGAAAGTCCTCCACGAAGGCATCCCTCCCCTTAGGCAGATAGCCCTAGTGTGCTTTGCCATAATTAAATACACCAAAAAAAAATTACACCTTCATGGAGGACTTTCTAAGGGAAACTGCCTCGTATACACGTTACAAGTAGGGAAAATCGCGAAAATGCCCATGCGGCCAGCCCGTTTGCCGGATTCGAATCTCGGACCGAACTACCAGTGTTCCGCGACTTAACCGCTCAGCTGCTGGTGCGCCTAATAGGCCGCACAAGCAAGTCATGTAGTGTCCACATCAGGTTTTATTTTATGAAACTGATAATGTGTAAAAAATTCATTCTTACGTCATGTTATATTTCTTTCTTGCATTCTTGTTTTAAATATAACAACAATACATGATTTACCATGACTGATTTAATTTCAAATAATGCATGCCATAAGGTAACCTTTAATATTATGATGCGCTTCTAGCAGCAATAAAGATGTAAATATCGATGAATATATTTCGTTTCTATTAAAGTATATACAAGTATAGTGTAGATTTCGTTTGCTTTAACAACTTATTCTTCTTTAATGTGTTTGCGGTCATGATAAAAGTATAAAAATTAGTTCCAAATTCTTTGCTTGTAGACACAGAGTTTAAAAGTAACCAAAGATGCATATTTGGAAGAGTAAGAGAAAATGCTATCATCTGCCTGAAGCAATCATTTTAGTCCAAGACTATCGTTTTCGTTTTGCGATGGTTCACTATAAATGCCCGTTTCCCTTTTCAAACTGTTGCCACCAAATGTTAGAGCCCTGCATTATATTTGAAGAAATTAAATAACGGAAAACCAGCATAAATGTATGTATATTTCTCGCATTGTGATAAAACAGGGGTACGTAGAGCCATCGAATTTTCAGTGACGTAATCCTACTCTTGATATGGGCATGTGGAAGCCCAAATTTGAAATTTGGAATTTGTAATTCGATTTCATATTTTGTAAATCTTTAACGAATTTTTGATTAACAAACTCAAAGGATTTCAAAGCGAGCAACGGCAACGTTGTGCAGAAAAATCATTTTTATCTCCAGCTCGCGAGACTCTGTATCAGAAATTCTAAAGATATGCTCATTTTAAAACTATTTTGCGATATTGCTCTTGAACTGAATTTTACGGGTTAAGTGCGAAGAACGTGATGTTTAATAAATAAAGATAACAGAAAAAATGTTAAAAAAAATCCCTTTGGACGTAATTTAGAATCTGAAACCTTTCATATTTTTATCTTTTTTTTTTTTTTTTTAATTTTGTTATTTTCTTTAAAACGTCTGGAACGCTGTCCGCTTGTTCTTTTGTTTTAAA